CCTCTAATTTGCCCCGCTTAGCAAATCTTGCCTTCAATATAGATGGAAGCACAGATGTACCTCACAGTGCCAGAGGCTGCTTGTTGATATATAGAATAGTGAGTGGATCACACCCTCCATCCAGAAGTGATAAAGGATAAACTGATGTGATGGATGTCTTTCTAGGATGCCCAGGGGCTTTAACAGGTCTTTTCTTTCCTTTAGCAGCGGTATTGATTTCACCTTGGCTGTCTATCTGTCTGTACATACCAGATGTTTTTATGTCTTTGTCATCATGACAAAATGTGCCCACAACTACAATGGGATTCAACACAAAGACTATTTTGAGCACTTTTAGAGGTGTTATGTTTGTTTCACAGAGACATTATGAATGTAATAGTGTTACAACTGTCTAAGTCACAGGCACAAAACTTTACAGGTGTTTAGTTGAGATCAGATTCATGTTCAAAAATGATCCATGAGTACTGCATGAAGAATGGGTGTAGATGTAGTGGAAGCAAGGAGCTATTGCTTTGTAGCACATTTTTTTATTTTTGGATTTATTTGTAATTCTCTCTTTACGATCTAAAATATATAATATTTATCAACCATTAAAGCCTAGCTGGTAATAATTACAAATATTTACATGGCGTGTTATCATGGAGCAAAATCATCCTGGAGATGTCTACTGTACCAATGCAGGTCAGCATCACATAGATGCAATATGCTGTCATTAAGCTTTATAGATAAATGATTGATACCAGTAGAGTCCAGTAGATAGAAAGGTGTCCACCTGTCTCTCTTCAGCTGCTTATCTGGTTTCGGGTCCCTCTCAACAGCCACTTCCTCCAGCCCCTCTGACCTATTACATTCTGTGCTAGATTAACCCGTCAATATGGTCATTTAGTTCCTTAGTGAAAAAGATGGTTTTCTTTCTTCTTTCTGTCAGAACCATAACAGATAGTAGAAAAACGAAAGAAATGCCCACATCCTTGTGATTACACTGAGGTTAATGCAGCAGAATAATTTCACCCTATTTTTCAGTGATTTTTATATTTAAAATAGCAACTGATAGGATACTTAATTCTGGAGTCCTGAATATCCTCACATGTAGCTAAAATCAGCTGACTATGTACTCGGTTTGTTCAGATGGTTAAATCTGAGAATTCCAGCAGCTCTTAGGCTTTCACCTCAGAGACCTTACTGTATGTCAGTATCTGGGAAAAAGGAAAAAAAAAAGATTTGCACAAGCTCAGCTGAATTCAGCTCATCTCTCCAAGCTGCCAGGTGAGAATCACCTGCTGACTCTGGGAGTGAATGCTGATGCAAGAGACTGCACTAGCTAACAAGGTCTCCCAGGTTCTCCTGAGAGATAAATACTAAGACATGTAATGCTACTACTGTCAATATAAAATAAATAAAAACCAGCATGTTTTCAAGAAAATAAAAAAGATTTTGTTGCATATTGTTCATGGGAAAACCTGAGGTCTGCATGTGATGCCTTACTAGGTCAGACCTGGTAACATTTCTATCATTTTTAGTGGTTCTAAATACACACATATTTCTCATTACGAAATAGACAAAGTTATAACTCTCTCCTACATCTGGAGGTGTTCTAATGCACTAAATAGAGATAACATGGGAAAAGACACACACACACCCACAAAGGCAAAAGGCAATCTGAGTGGACCAAGGGACGCTGCATCCTCCCTGGCTAACAATAATGAGCATACTCTGGCTTGTCCGCCTTTCTGACTCTGGTCATTTGTAAACTGAAATTCATGTTTTATTTAGTATGGCCAAAAGCTAGTGATTGACCCAAAAAATTAATTAGGAAAGTTTTTACTGAAGAGACAGAGCAAGGGAGCCAAGGGCTTTTATACAACCAGAAGTCGTTTTTGTTTTTTTGTTTTTAACCAGTGAAGTCGCCTTCTGGTGACCACTAAATAGAATGGAGATTTAGGGTATTTCTACATTGCTACCACTTTTAAGATGTAGAAGCCATTTCCATCTTGTGTTTTATCTATTACACCCACACTAGTCCATAAAGATCACAGGCACTGCAGGCACAGTTTGTGTGCCCTTAGTTGCCAGAGTCACTCTCATGT